AATGGGCGTGAGGCGACTCTTAATTCTCAGCAATTCCCAACTGGTCGTCAATCAAGTTACTGAGGAGTACCAGGTGAAGGATGCTCATATGGAGAGGTATCTGGCCAAAGCCCGAGTGCTCCTCGCCCAATTTGAGGACCACGTAATTCGACAGGTTCCGAGGTCCGAAAACACCAACGCCGACGCACTGGCTCGCCTAGCCTCGACCAATGAGACCGACCTACCGAGGACGGTTCGAGTTGAAGTACTCGCCGAGTCGTCCATCGACCAACATGAAGTAATGGAGGTTCAGTCAGCTCAGCCTACATGGATGGACCCTATTAAGAACTTCTTGGTCAGTGGCTCAGTCCCTGATGATCCGCGCCAAACCAGAAGGTTCCGACGTCAAGCGGCTCATTACCTGATACAAGAAGGCAAGCTCTTCGAGAGAGGATATTCCCTACCATTTCTACGGTGCCTCGACCCAGAGGAGGCGAGGTATGTTATCCGCGAGATTCACGAAGGAGTTTGCAGAAGCCACGAAGGAGTTCGGTCCATGGCTGCCAAGGTCGTCCGCCAGGGCTACTATTGGCCGACGATTGAACGCGACACCAAGGAACTCGCCAAGACATGCGAAAAATGCTAGCGCTTCGCAGGCATTTTGAGACAACCCCCGGAGATGCTGACGCTGATCTCAAGCCCTTGGCCTTTCGTTTAGTGGGGGATAGATCTGATTGGCCCATTGTCAACGGCGAAGGGGCAGTTGAAGTTTGTCGTGGTAGCAGTAGACTATTTCACCAAATGGGTGGAAGTCGAGCCTCTAGCATCCATTACTGAGGAGAAGGTCATCAGTTTCATGTGGAAGAGCATTATATGTCGATTCGGTATACCGAACGCCATCATTATCGACAATGGAAAACAGTTGTATGGTGCCCGGTTTAACCAGTTCTGTCAACAACTCGGCATAGTCCACCTCAGCTCGTCTCCGGCCCATCCGCAGTCAAACGAGCAGGTTGAAGCCGTCAGCAAGATCATCAAGTGTGGTCTGAAGACGAGGCTGGAGTCTCTGAAAGGTCGGTGGGCAGAAGAGCTACCAGAGGTGTTGTGGTCCTACCGAACTACACCCCGCCGATCTACTGGCGAGATGCCATACGGCCTAGCCTTCAGGTCGGAGGTCGTCGTCCGAGTGGAAGTAGGCATGTCAATGCCCCGAGTTGAACATTTCGACGAGCAAACCAACAACGAAGCTCTCCTTGTGAATCATGACCTACTCGAGGAGAAAAGATCTCACTCTCAGCTCAGGCTAGCAGAGTATCAGAACCGTATGGCTCGGTACTACAACGCCAGAGTAAAAATCAGAACGTTCAAGCCTAGCGACCTCGTCCTCAATACGGTAATGCAGCATGTCGGATCACTCGAGCCGAACTGGGAAAGTCCGTACAGAGTCTTGAAAATACTCCGACCTGGAGCGTATCTGTTGTCCGACCTCAACGGGAGACAACTCACCCACCCATGGAACGCCGAACATTTGCGAGTTTATTATCAATGAGACGTGTGTTATCCGACGTGTACATTTCATTCATTTATGAAAGATGATCTCAAATGTAACACCCCGCGTTCTCTAACTCGTTTATTTTAAGAGATAAATAGTGTCTTTGGATTTTTCCCTAAGTTGATAACTTTAATTCTTGGAACTTCTAACTTTGAAATTCTAATTTTTGGCTAAATTAGAATTAAGTTTAATTTCATTGGATTAAGATAATTTAAGTTCTCGACCTGTGTAGGAGATTTTTAGTTAAATCTTAAATTCAGGGGTTTTAGGATTTTCCTTCATAAATTCTACTTTCTTTGAATTATTATTCTTGGGTTTYAGAGTTTAAGTTAACTATTTTGTTTAGGGTTGTGGGTTTTATTTGATTTTTTAAACTATAATTATTGGGCTTATTGTTTTGGGTCATTGTTTTATTTAGTTGGGCCACCTTCAAGAATAAGGGTTTGGGCTTTTAAGTTTTAAAACAAGTTAAAGAAAAGGGAATTAAAACAAAATAACCCTAGCCCCATCTTGTTCTTCTTCCTCTTCTTCTTCCTCCCTTCCC